CAAATGTTCTGACTGGAGGAAATTGAATCCAGTACGATATTTAGGTGTTCTTATCACTGGTCAGCCCTACTCCCATAATGAATATGAAAAGAGATAACAGACACTAATGACCTTTTATGAAACGATGAGTATTTGTTATATACCTATCTTGCCTGCATTGGCTCTTTCATGTGTAAATATTATCTTATCTGGGCCTAATGGTGAAGATGGAACTATGTATTGTTTTTGTTAAGGTTCAGTTAGAGTTACAAACCGAAAACTTTCCCCATTTGGCAACCATTTTGATAGGGCCAACCCACTTCTAGTTTTCAGTTTTCACAGCATTTAAACAGCCACAGTATCCTGCAACACACATCTACTTTTATATTTCCATCCCAATAGCTCGTCGAGGGGTATGCTAAGTTGTAATCACGTCATGTATTGTGTAGTGGGCGTTCTGATGTACTTATTTGTTTGTACAGTCACGGCCATTTGGAGTCTCCCTCCTAATTGCTGGACATGATGAGAATGGACCTAGCTTGTAAGTGCTGATCCATTTAGCTCACTGAACTGGATTTTATTTAATTGCAGTCTTCAGAATCCTTTTCTTAAACTGTGGAGATTTACTTCTTTTTCTTATGCTAAATCATTGTGCTATAACGCATTGAAATTGCTTTTTTGTTGCCTTTTTTTTAGACTTTAGGCTATCATGGTAATGTGGGTTGCTTTACTTCTGTTTTCTTCTGTAAAATCATTTTAGTATCATCATATCATGCATCACATTTGCTTTTTGTTGGATCTTTTTAGATCGTCATGGTAAATGCTTTTTTTAGTGGATGTCTCTTTGCTGCAGAGTGTGGGCTTACCATTTGTTTGACTTGCATGAACTATGGTTGTCTACTAGGTGGTTTTGTTCTACTTAGGTCATTATGTGTCCTTGACAGAAATTAAAGTAAAATTCCTGTAAAATTAGGAAAAAACAGGAAGACATGGAACTTGTGACCAAGATTGTTCCAATGGTTATCTACATCATGCATTGAACTAAGTTATTCGCTTTTATAGTTGAGCTACCTTTCCATTATGTACATATGTGGACAAGGTCTTTACTTATAACAAGCATAAGTGATATATAAAAAGGTCAACTTTGAGCCTAAGTAATAATTTCCGTTGGGGTTTTATGTGCTCATGGAAGGGTGGGCCTGGTGCAAGCGGTAGAGTCTTACCGCCTGTGACCGGAAGGTCCCGGGTTCAAGTCGCGGTCTCTTCGCATTGCACAGGCGAGGGTAAGGCTTGCCACTAACACCCTTCCCCAGACCCCGCATAAAGCGGGAGCTCTCTGCATTGGGTACGCCCTTTTATGTGCTCATGCTTTATATTTCATGATTTGATCCATATGTATATAGTTTTTAAGTAGAAAGGGTATTCTTTCCCTGCTTCCCAATAAGTCTAGGGGGGATTTTCTTCATTTATCACTGGAAGTTTAGCCAATTCCCAGACATAAGTTTATTCGGTATACATGTTGGCTGAGGCATATATTTTAGTTAGTGGAATATAGCGGAGACCAGGCACTTATAACAGGCCCCTCTGTATATGTTGCTCATTTTGCAATCATGGCATCATTTTGCGGGGTTCGAAGCAGCCTCTCCACAGATTTTGCGGGGGGAAGGCTTGCATCGGTTTTTCCCTTCCCCAGACCCCACTCATGTGGGAGCCTCCGGCACTGGGTCTGCCCCCTTTTTTTTTGCAATCATGGCATCCTTATGTCTCTATGTTGTGAGGCAAATCTTTTTGTCATAATCAATTTACACAAGGCCACTGGACTTAATTTCTCATGGTTCACCATATGTGTGCTGCAGATACTACACGGACCCATCTGGAACCTTCTGGCAATGCAATGCAAAGGCAATTGGATCAGGTTCTGAAGGAGCTGACAGCTCCTTGCAGGAGCAGTACAACAAGGTATGGTTCAAAATAAATGCTAAGCTAATCAACAAATCGTACAGTTCCAAAGAGAGGTGCTGCCTGTGAACCCTAGTTATAAGGAATTATCTACCAAAGCACATTATAGTCCTCCTTTATGGCGGAAAAAATGTCCTAGAGCAGTAGATTAATTGCAATGCTGCTTAGAATATTTGAATATGCTACTCACACAGAATGACATCACAAGAATTTGCTCCACAAGGATGTAAAAATGGGAGGATAATAGTCCTCCTTTATGGCTGTCAAAAAAAAATGTAGAAGTGCTTGCATACTGCAATGTCGTAGAACAGATCCATAAAAAATAGTGTCGGCTGTTACTCATGTGGAAGAAAATCGAGAGTAATGCCTTGCTGATATTGCAGGAACTGACCCTCCAGGAGGCGGAGACCATAGCCCTTTCTATCCTGAAGCAGGTTATGGAAGAGAAGGTATGGCATGTCAAACTACTCCATATTCCATCGCTCAGCTCTGTTGAACCATTCATCTAAATGTGAACTTATCGTCTTGTTCTAAACAGGTGACCCCAAACAATGTCGATATCGCCAAGGTTGCCCCCAAGTACCACCTCTACACCCCTGCCGAGGTCGAAGCTGTCATCGCGAGGCTGTAAAACAACTTCTGAGTTCTTGATTTCCCGTCAACAATCACGGTCGTTGTATGAAGCATGGACATTTTGATGTGGGCCTATCAGCCTGCTATTGTGTGTTGCCATGTGTTGTCACCACGCTCTGTCAACTCCACAAGGGCAGTTCATGTTAGACTAATCGGCTGCCCGGCCAGTTCAGTGATTTAAGTAGCATTGAGAACTTTGTACTGCCAGAAAGAATGTGTACTTCTTTTTACGAATTTGACTTCAGTTTCTTCCAGCCAGTTCGTGACGCGTTGACTGGTTTTGCAACCTGCAATTTCCAGTGGTGTGTGAATTACTGCGGTGGTGGTGGCCATATCTGGTGCCATTCACACGCAGGCTATTTTTGGTTTTCTGCTGGTGACCAAGACAGTTTGGTCTGCCCAGAAATTTTTTATCCATTTGGTTGAAGGCTAGAAATTGGCATGACCAAACAAATTTAGCATGTGACAAAGGGCATGTTTTGAAATGTTAAATCTAAAACAATAATTAATAAGTTTAATGTGAACATGACGGTTTACTAGGCATAGCTCAACATTAGAACCAATGTAGGCCTTGTTTAGATACCCTCAAAATTTCAAGTTTTTTCACTCTCTCTCCATCACATCAATTTTTAGCCATTTACATGGAGCATTAAATGTAGGTAAAAAAAATAACTAATTGCACAATTTAGTTGGAAATCATGAGATGAATCTTTTGAGCTTAGTTGGTCCACGATTGGACAATATTTACCAAATAAGACGAAAGTGCTACTATTCATCGGGTTGAAATTTTTTTCAATCTAAACAAGGCCGTAGTCTGCACTCATATGTCATAAAAACAGATGAAATATCTTATCACGTCTATATGAGCATCAAGACACAAATTATATGGACTCATGCAATTAATTTCTTTGTAGATAAAAAAAGGAATAGTAAAAAGAAGCCATGAATTTCCCCTCGCTTCGATTATGTGTCAATAGAGAAGTTATTTTTTTAAATATTTTTAGCCATATTGGATTTCCTTAGCCCAAAATAGGTGCCCGGTCCTAGCGTTAAGCCTATGAGCCCAATGTTCTCGATCTTCTTTTGGGACGAGATTCAATTCGTGTGTAGGGAACGCCAAAATCTCATCAAGTAGACTCAAAGGAATTAAATATGTGTACCCATGGCACATTGTTGTTGGAAAAAAGAATATGAAGGAGTGTGTTGTCGTGGAACTTCAAGTTTAGATCTTGTAGTTTTTGATAGAAAAATCAGTGATGACCCCCCATCTTAGTCTCTTTTTTCCTTGAGTTTTTTCAGCATTGCTTAAGAAGGTTTACATTAATGATCATTGTCTTTCTTCTTGAATGGATCTATGCCTTTGAGCCCTAACTAATGTTTCAGACAGCCAGGAGGTTGGCCATGGCCCTCTTCATCTATATATTGAAGGGTAGACTCATCTCGTAGCTTGTGGAAGCAACAAAAATTGCTTAAAATTTGTCATTCTCCATTCTATATGGATACAAGTTAACTTTGATGTTTGTAAAAGCTAGATGTATATCTATTTGAATCAGGAGCTAGAGTTCAACATATTCTCCCTCCACTATGGTTTATTACATGCTCTAGCTTTTCTCTAAGTTAATTTTCCCTAACTTTGACATACTTCCTAGAAAATATGTCCAAAATTTTGAACATCAAGTTGTTTCATTTAATTATTTATGACATGTATTGGTAGTGCTTTTTTGTCGTCAAAGTTTATTTAAAACTTTGTCAAAGTTATACAAGATTGGTTTTAGACTATACTAAAGTAAATTGTAATCAAGAACGCAAGGAGTGTGTGGCAATTGCCATGTTTAGCTATAAGCATTCTAATTTTGTAAATCATTTGTGTGTGCATGCATCTGTACATACTGGGATTTCATTTAGTCTCGATATTGCAGCATTTTTCATTCATTGCTAAATAACTTCTCACCTAACTACCGTGCATGCTTTAACCATGACTACAATACTACAACAAAATCCGTTGATAAAGGCTTTGATACACATGAACAAGTCATAACTTTACATACTCATCATGTTTATAAAGTGGAACATTTATGATGTGGCTAAGGCTATAACATGTGTAAAGGTGAAGTGATCATGCATGTCATTCCTCGTGTATCAAAAGAATTCCAACATAAATAAGCACTTTTTTCTTGTACGTAGTGGAAACAGTCTTTCCTACACAGACCATATAATCCAATCAAATTCAGAACTAAATGACAAAATCAACTAGGTGCCATGTCATCTATAGCTTATCTGTTTTTTGGCAAAAGCCAAAATCTAAATAGATATACATGAGCTCTCACTGGTATAAATAGGCTCCAAATCAGTAGTTAATACATCGCCCATAGCATTGAGAGCAATCAGAAACATACCAAGTGAAACACACTAGCAACGTCCTCGCAACAATGGCTACCAAGATATGTGCCCTACTTGTGCTCCTTGCTCTTCCAGTGAGCTCTACAACTACGATCATTATTCCGCAGTGCTCACTTGCTCAAAATGCTATTATTCCACAATTCCTCCCACCAATTACTGCTATGGGGTTTGAAAACTCAGCTGTGCAGGCCTATAGGCTACAACAGGCGCTTGCCGCGAGCATCTTACAACAACCAATTACCCAATTGCAACAACAATCCTCAGCCCATCTAACCATACAGACCATCGCAGCGCAACAACAGCAGCAGTTCCTGCCAGCACTCAGTCAACTAGCTGTGGCGAATCTTGCCGCCTACTTGCAACAGCAGCTGCTTGCATCGAACCCACTAGTTGTGGCGAACGCTGCTGCATACCAACAACAACAACAACAACAACAACAACAACAACAACAACAACAACAACAACAACAACAACAGTTGCAACAGTTCCTGCCAGCACTCAGTCAACTAGCTGTGGTGAACCCCGCCTCCTACCTGCAACAATAACAGCTGCTTCCATCCAACCCACTAGTTGCGGCCAATGCCGCTGCATACCTGCAACAACAGCTAATACAACAGATCCTACCAGCGCTCGATCAACTAGCCGTGGTGAACCCTGCCGCCTACTTGCAATAGCAACAACTGCTTCCATTCAACCAACTGCCTGTGGCAAACACCGCTGCATACCTGCAACAACAACAGCTGATGTTAGTTAACCCACTCGCAGTTGCCGCCTTCCTACAGCAACAACAATTGTTGCCATTCAACCAGATATCTTTGATGAACCCTGCCTTGTCGTGGCAACAACCCATTGCTGGAGGTGCCATCTTCTAGATTACATATGAGATGTACTTGATAACAAAGCTCTCATACCGTCATGTGCTACTTACCGAGAATAATCAATATAGTTATTGAGATTTATCTGAGTCCAATTTCTTAACTGTGTTCTTCGTATATACAATTGAAAACATCAAACCATAATTAAAGACACATGCTTGGTTAATACATAGACAATACCATATTACTTCATCAATCCAAAGATGTGCCAGCCCGACCTCTTGAATGTTCTCATTTGGGTGTGCGTGTGTGTTTATAAGATAGATGCGACGGTACACGCTTGCAGTTGAGTACTTGGATTTTTTTTATTTTTAACACATTTTTTTAACTAATTTTAAAACTAACAATGTTTATTTTTTTTCAAATCTAACACTTTTGGCCGCGCCTATTCGCACGGCGCAGCGATTTAACGCTGCCGCGCCATGCATGGGGACGCGGCGAGGCTGCCCACGTGGTAGCGACCAGGGCCCCTAACCGGTGACGTGGCCGTCTCTGCCGCGCCACCGATCAGGGCGCGGCGGTGACGCGCCATGCATCATGGCGCTGAGAGTGGCGCCACCGCCACCGTCGTCCGGCAGCGAGCCTAATATAGTCCCGCCTCCCTCTCTGTTTTGATCGCCAGGCACAAAGAGCCTCCTCAGGTCGCCTGCCACCGCCTTGCCCAGCCGCCCCACCTCCCGACCGCACCCGCGCCCATGCCTCCCGGCTCCCCCACGGCCGGCCGCCGAATTTCCCTCCCTTGGCATTCCCCTCCATACCTTCCTCGAAGCTCCTCCTCGGCCTTATCAAGGTAATGAAGCTCCTCCTCGGCCTCCACGGTGGATCGAATGATTTGAATGAGTAGGTAGTTATGGAGGAAAATATGAGTTCGTTAGAACGTTGGATTGAAGGATTAGGATTAGGATTGCCAATGTTAAGGTTAATTGGTTAGTTAGAATTATGATTACCATGTATTTTACCTGTTTGAGTTTGCATCTCTACTTTTATATGTGAATAAATATATGGACACACTGTTGATGTACCAAATTTTATTTTTTACTGACCAAAGTATAGTTTTTATATAGTTTTCATGTTTACATCTAAGATAGAGTTTGCAACAAAGTGTAGGTTATATTTTATTTGTTGTAATGCAAATGGTTCTCATTGACATTAATTTGTGATGTTTTGATTTTTATTTGTTAAATTACAAACGTTTTGTTAGATGCAAGAAATGTATCGGGAGGAGTTTTGGCGAAAACGGGGTCGTCCCCGAGAATTATACCCCGGCGCGTCTAGCAAAGATGCCCCCGTCCCTCCTGACCTCCCCGTCCCTAACTGTGACTGTGGTTTCTCGGCCGACGTGTTTCAATCGAGACATCCAGACACAGCGGCGCATTGCTTCTACACATGCAGTTGTTTTAATGTAAGTAATTGTTTGCACTATCTTTTTTCTTCATTTGTGTAAGTAGGCTACTAATATTTTGTTGGAATCTTATTGTGTAAGACCATGAGAGGTGCTTTTTCTTTCAGTGGATCGACGGTGCAGAGAAGTTTGACCCTAGGTACCTCCTTTTCGACGATTGGTGTAGAGGGAGACATCCACGTGAGCACTTCCAGCGTTGGGTTCCACCCCCCTAACCCCCCCACCAATGACGGCTAAGGAGAAGCACCTAGCCGCAGTTAGACGACTCGAGGAACCTCCTCTGTGCGAATGTTGAGATCGAGCTATGATAAACCCTGAGAATACGTTGGAGTTTGTGTGTCCTAATAAACACGAAGTAAGTGAAAAGTGTATCTGTTTAAATGTTTATCTCTATAGGTGTGCGTGTACTAATGTATTCTCTTGTAGCGTTATGGATTTGCGAAGTGTCGTTTCAATGAGTGGCTCTAGGGTCCTAAGAATCAATGGTCGGAGCCACCAAAGGCAAAGGAAAAGAAGAAAGAAAAGTTAATTTACAAAGCACCTCCAGTCAAGTGCGAATGTGGTGTTAAATCTAACTACGGTCTAGTCCCTTCAGAGCTTGGAATAGGCCATTATTGCGGCCATATGGTTGACTATGATGAGGTTGATTATTTTTGTGGTAAACATGAAATCGTATTTTGTTTCTTTTGCTAAGACATATATGATATAATTTTTCATTTGAACAGAGCACTAGGAAATGTAGGTGGAAATGTTATGATGGTCAAGCTAAGTTCTTGGATGAACTGAAGGGGAGGCAAGTAATTGCACGGAAGAGGGGATATGGACCTGACTACGTCAACCTATTCGTTAAACATCATAAAAACAAGATGTGTGAGTTTGCTAGACAGCGCGGTATTTGTAACCCGATCGATGTTGGGCTTGACAAATGGGGATTAGAGAGACGGAGGACGTTAGAGGAGGAGAGGGCAAGGAAGGAGGCAAGGGAGGAAACAAGAGTACAGATGCAGGTCTTGAACGAGCATGTTGTTGCATTATGTGCCAGTGAGTGCTTGAAAGCCTTTTTTTGTTGCCTGATTTTAAATGTAATATAATCGTGTTGCTAACTGATTGCATTTTATACATGAAGGGATTGGATACAGCGAGGACCATGCCATAGAGGTGGCTCGTGCAAGGTATGAGGAACAGAAGTTAGATGAGCACAGAACACGAGCTGGTCGCACCGTTCAATCACCGATTGTGTTGTTTGATGAGGGGGACGAGGATGAGGATGACACTGCTAGGTTGAGCGATATCATCGCTCTTGCTGAGGCGGGCTTGTAGGCGGAGGAGGCAGAGGACGACACTAGCAGACTGAGCGAGCTCATCGCTCTAGCATAGGTGGGCTTGCAGATGGAGGAGACTGAGGACGACACTGGCAGACTAAGCGAGTTCATCGCTCTAGCAGAGGTGGGCTTGTAGGCGGAGGAGAATGACGACGCGTTCTTCACTCAGGCCGCAGAGGACGCAGATGAAGCGGACGCCGCTTACTACAGGCGACACGCAGGTCAGAGCAATGCAGGTGAGCCTAGTCACAGCAACAAGGTGGTGGTAGAGGACTGGTACTCGGAATTTGTAGAATATGTAGATCAACAATAGACTTAGACCATAACATATATTTGTGATATAAGAGACCAATCAAAGACTTGCATGTGCTGGTGTCAAATTGGTAAATGTTTGGAACGTAGAAATTCTTACTTTGCTCTCTTAGCATCCTCGTCCTCGGGTGGTCTTCTGCCACAGAACTGCTCCACCAAGTCCATACAGTGATCGTTATCAAGGATCCCAGTCACTGGAAGACCCCCCAACCACAGACATAGAATCATCTTCACATCCTACATCGTGATAGTCATCTTGCCGCAAGGAAGGTGGAAGGTGTGGGTCTCCGGCCTCCACCTGTGGGTTTTTAATTCAATACAAGAAATTTTTTAATTTAAACAATGACACAAATCAATGCTTTGTACTGTCGCAAACGTGTATCAAATCATACCTATCGACAACAGCAGTGAGAAGTGCAGGGTCGAGGATCGGTAGCCTAGTGTTGAAGACGCGGACGATCTCAAGGAAGCCGGTACGCTGCATGTACGGCCAGTATCGCTCGTCCCAGCGGTGTGGCTGGTGCGTGCGTAGTCGAAGAGGTACCAAGTCCTCCTGAAGCTCCGACAGACGCTGGGCTCGGTGGTCCTTGTCGTAGTGCACCTCAAGAATGGGGTACTGCGGATGATGATCCCCCATCATGGTCCAAATTTCAAATGTATATGTTAGAACAAACATTAAGAGTACGATAATTTTATGGAACATTAGTGCACAAAAACAAAGTAAATATAAAAGGAATAAACTATTATGCAAAATTACAGAATAAACATATATCATAATAAACATAGCTTCAAAGTTCCAATGTACTAACATAGTAGTTTTAAATAGCATAGCAAACAATTAACATTAATATAATAAAATGTATGCTACATGTACCTGCTGCCCTTGCCTTCTATGCCTGCTAGCCTTATGACCAGGTTCTTTGCAAATGGAGCAAAGATTCCTACCATGGGTCTCGTTGAAGTCTCCCCCTCCGTACATGTCTTCGTTGTACCCTCTCATAGCGTCCATGTCCACGTTGAGTCGCTTCTTCTTCCTCCTACCCTTGCCTACCTTCATTAGATCCAGATGCGGCACGTAGTCATAACCATAATAAGGTGGCCATTGTGTCGGGTCAAGGTATGGCTCGAAACTCCTCTCCCAAATACTAACGGTGTTCGAACGGAGATACAAGGGTGACATATATGGTAGATCCTAATAGTTATACATGCGAACCCTGCAGGCCGTGATCATATGAGAGCAAGGGGCATGCATAATCTAAGGGACGTTGCAACTGCACTCTACTTTTTTAAGATCAACTCGGTAGTTTCGTGGGCGCGGCGGACATGGCAGGTGGCAGGCGCAGGCGGGCGTGCGTGCGGGCGTGTATGCGGGCACGGCGGGCTGGGCGGTGGCGTGGCGCGGTGGGACTGGGCCGTGGGCCTATATTAGGCTCTCCACGCCCTGGACAGTGGCGCGCCACTGCCGCGCCATGATGCGTGGCGTGTCACCGCCGCGCCCTGATCGGTGGCGCGGCAGAGCCGGCCGCGTCACCGGTTAGGGCCCTGGTCGCTGCCACGTGGACAGCCTCGCCGCGCCCCCATGCATGGTGCTGCAGCGTTAAATCGTCGCACCGTGCGAATAGGCATGGCCAAAAGTGTTAGATTTTAAAAAATAAACAGTGTTAGTTTTAAAATTTGTTTAAAAAATGTGTTAAAAATATAAAAAAAATCAGTACTTGCATATGTGGTATGTTCTTTTGAGAAAGTGATGGGCACATATGCTTTGACCATGGCAATTCAAATCAGGTGCACATATACCAGACGAAACTTAATATGAGTTCATCAGTAAACCTACATGGGCGTCCAAAGTTGTTCACCAAGAGTCTTACCTCTTAATTATTGCTTTTAGTAAATACTCGGCATGTATGTTTTCAACTAGAACCCAAATTGTGTAGGCCACCATAGTGTTGTAGACATATCGGGAAATCTTTGGAGCCCATGAACTTAACAACGCAAAGGTCATTAAATCAATTGGACCCTATTAGTAACAATTACCATGTTGGTAACAATAAAGTATGAAACTTCTTTCCCGATAAAATTTATGATGAATATGGAGTTTAAATTATTATTCCATGAATAAATTAAAGAAAATTTTGTTGAGGAACACCAAACTTGCGTGGAATTGACTGCTCAACACGCTAGCTCACTTTTCTGCTAGGTGGCATTACCTAAGATGAGATCACCAGTAGAGAACAGACTTTCGGTTTTTAGTGTTAGTCTTGGCTAGGATTGGGCCCGGGACTAATAAAAGAATTAGTCTTGGTTGGAGCCACCAACCGGGACTAGAATCCCCTACCCAACGGCTAGTGCAGCAGGCTTTTTCAGGAGAGACATTTAGTCCCGGTCTTTGGATCAAACCGGGACTAAAGGTCGCCTTTTAATCCCGGTTGAAAACTGTCATTCCTACAAAGACCATATAATCCAATGAAATTAATAACTAAATGACAAAATTGACTAGGGTCCATGTCATCTATAGCTTATCTGTTTTTTGGCAAAAGCCAAAACTTGAATAGATATACATGAGCTCTCACTTGTATAAATAGGCCCCAAATCAGTAGTTAATCCATTGCCCATAGCATTGAGAGCAATCATAAACATACCGAGTGAAACGTACTAGCAACGTCCTCGCAACAATGGCTAACTGATAAGTCGCAAAAAAAAAAAGACAATGGCTAACTGATGTTTCACGCACAGGCTATTTTTGGTTTGCTGCCAGTGCCCAAGACAGTTTGGTCTGCCCAGAAAATTTTGCATCCATTTGGTTGAAGGCTAGAAATTGCCATGACCAAACAAATTTTGGCATGCCAACTACAGTAAACAGCGAAGCTGTGGCAGATCTATTTGTCATGGCCGAATGCAGTGATATGGATGATGTGGTAGGACTGTAGGAGGGCATTGGTTGCACGCAACTCAACGTTTCTTGATTCACCAACTCTAAACTAAAATATCACTTTTATCCGATATCCAAATAATTTGTGCCATAATATCATGTTTTTTTTCAACAAAACAAAGATCCATATTATTGGATATATTTTGATATGAAATAATTGTGACATTTGTGCCCCACATGCCACACTAACAATATTCATGAGATTTCATATGGTAGCAGTCCAAATGTATTTTTGCTCTCTAGATTTTAGCGTTGCTCCTAATTTTGCCCTTTATTGGGCCTTACCAAGATTTGGCATTGCCAAATTTTGATTTGGCTCATGTATGTCATGAACCAAATAGACTCAGGAACAAAAATTTGTATCAAGTACCGATGCTCGTTCCTCAACCAAACACCGGTAAGAATAGAACCGCTCCATCCATTCGTTCCTCAACCAAACATATCCATCCCTCCAACTGAACCAAGTTTTGAACCATTGGATGGCAAAAGCATTAGCCGGCAAGTTAGTGGGAGCAGATAAATGCACCTGGCCATGATCACCGGATTTCCATTGAAGTTACCGTGAGTCCGCGACTTGGTTCAAGTTACTTTGTCACGGTTCAAATTACTCAGGGTGAAACCAAGGGTTTTCAATTTTGGTATTATAGCTTTTTGGGACACCTCTGAAATTATCGAAATTCAAACTCAAAATTTCATCAAATTTTTTTAGAGACTTAAAAATGAAGTATAAATATCTAAAATTTTAGATATAGATAAAATATTACCATGATTTATGACTAACGTCTATTGAGTAGAAGAATATGCAATATAAATAATAGAAAATATATGAGCCTAGACGTATATATTTACAATAAAACACATGTATTAGTGTAAAATTTTGGGATTTTCTTTAGGCCACCCTCAAAATTTACAAAATTTCGTAGAAATTTTTAACCCTGGGTGCCATCTAACATTTAATGTAGTTTTTCTAGTGCTACGTTGTAGATTTAACATTCAATGTAGTTTGTTCTACTTTCCTTAATTTAAATTCAGGCTCCTTGGATAGATTTGAAAATAAATAAAATATGTAAAAAAATTGGATCCTGACTGTTGAGCCTGGTATGGGCTGTATTCTTCTGGGCCTTCGGATTTGGACTAGTTAGGTCCGTCATTTGCTTTCCTCAAAAAAAGACCCGTCATTTGCATGACCAGACCTCCCCCCCCTCTTCCGCCGCCGCCTCTGGAACGCTATGCGATTGCGGTCTCCGTTCTCACACTGCCTCGCACGCCTCTCACCTCATCTCCCTCCACCGCCTCCTCACCTCTTACGCCACCACCGCGTCCTCTTGTAGCTCCTTCTTCGTCTATCGCCGAACCTAGGCTCGGCCTTCTCAATATGGGTCTCGAGAAGGTTGCCAGGCCTAACGATGCCCCAACCTGCCCTTACTAGTTACTCTGGCGATGCAATGTGAACATCTCTAAGATTTTTGGCACACATATTTTGTACTCCAATCGGATGTTCATCTAGAAGACGGACCTTCTCCAGGACGCGGTCAAGCGAGTGCAAGAGTTGGGCATGTTACACTGTGTGCTTGCTTTGGTTGCTATATATAGCCTAAAATATCACTCCCCTAATCGGGTGCGCCAACAAAGTTATGCGTCGAATACTTATGGTACATGTGGAACTTGTTATTTGCACAAAAATCATTCATAGTTAGCTCATGTCCTTCCATATGTGACACTTTTGTGACATTTTTGACGATCCAAAATGTTGACGAAATCATCGTCAACGATCCTACACCACAAGCTGCCGGAGGACAAGTTCAAGCAGAACAAGTCACTAGGAGGAGCAAGAACTATGTCTTAGTCGCCCATAAGTTATACTGACAAGGCACATCGTTTGGAGTACTCATGAAGTGCATTACACCCGCGGACGGCAGGCAAATCCTTGAGGAGATCCATTCAGGATGCTGCGGCAATCACACCACCTCCGGAACCTTAGTCAAAAAGGCTTTCAGGCAAATGCAGAGAACCTAGTGCGCCATTGTCAGGGCTACCAATTCTTCGCAAGACAAGCCCATGTTCCTATGGACAACCTCATATGCATCCCTCCATCATGGCCCTTCTCTTGCTTGTGGCTAGGTATGGTGGGACCACTTACCAAGGCACTAGGAGGCTTCGAGTACATTTTTTCGCCATCGACAAGTTCACGAAGTGGATCGAGTACAAGCCACTGGTCAAATTCAGTTCAGCAAAGGTGATTGAGTTTTTACAAGACATCATGCAACGGTTTGGCATGCCCAATCGGATCATTACCAACTTGGGCTCATCCCTCACCAGCACAGAGTTCAAATCATGGAGACAAGATTGCGGGATCAGCATAGACTATGCATCAGCAACCCACCTACGGGCCAACGGTTTGTTACTATAAGGACTCAAGCCTAGGCTTTATGAGCCTATTAAGAAGTACGGCGGAAAGTGGATGCAAGAGTTACCCAAAGTAGTCTGGGGGTTACTAACTCAGCTGAGCAGAGCAACCGGCCAGTCTTCTTTCTTCTTTGTGTACAGTCCAGAAGCAATCTTACCCACCGATCTAATCTGGAACTCTCCAAGGATCAAATAGTGCAATGAAGGCGAAGATGATTCTACACGGCAGCTGGAGATTGATACTCTAGAAATAAAGAGGCCTGACTTCTTGTGATCCCTTTGTTTTTATCACTATCACGCTGAATTCTTCAAGTATGGACACGGTCACACAGGGCATTGTGTTTTAGAAGATGTAAAACATTATATGATAGTTCTAAAAAGATACAAAATTTAGTCACCTGCAGATATTCAATCAAATATCTTTTACATGACTATGAAATATCTCATCTTCATGTGCAATTTCACAGCATCAAAGTGCCTTGGTGTTGATGACATTCCCATTTTCCCCAATTTCCATTAGCACAATACCTTCTCTGATGTGTGTTAAATTATGCTATCAAGAATTGGGCAGAGGAAAGGGAGGGCGATGTGAGGCACCTTATGGATTGCCTAGGTGGCGATTACAGTGGTCGGGGTCATTGTTGGTGCGTGCCTGTGGCTTCATGGGCACTGGCTGCAGCTAGCATCTCCCTTCGAAGGGAAACAAAAGAGAAACAGAGGAGGACACCTTCAAATCATGATATGCGTGACTGGCCTAGGGCCTTTTCTAGAAGGATGTACCTATAACACACAGCCGCACACCTTATAAACAAAAAAAAAAGAAATGATTTGTTTTCTTCCTATGCGATAGCCACGGAGGTGTGCAGGCGTGACAACTATCACATACATATTCGGTAAGTAGAGTTAACAAAAATATCACAATATAAACGCATATAGTTTAACATTTAATTTGGCAATCAAGTTCATATAATTAAATAACATACTATAATTCACATGTATATAATATATATATAGGTTCACGATAATATTGTACCAAACTCCAGTTTGCTTCTTACAATACAACCATCAGCATGACCAAGTAGATGCTATATATCTAGGTATGCAATGATATGATGCATATACTAGTACATGCATACACACATAGCTTACAAACTAGTTATTATGGAAATATACAAACCATGCAAATGCAATGCAGATATAGATATACATGCATATTTATGTGAATTCATGTCTTTGCCTCCACCATCCAAGTTCACCTCTTCAGTGCTTGTACTTCCATATGCTGTCCATCTCTATGGTGGTGGTCGCAGACACTGGGCCGGTCACGCACATCATTGACGAGATCTCAGCGGCATTAGCATGCTCGTCCTTCTGTGACACCATCGAGGATGGCCTACTCTCTGGCGCAGCAACATCGAAGCCACCAGCGCCAGCTGCTCCCATGTCCATTTGGGCAACTGCTACTCCCATGCCCATCTGGTCAGCTGCTACCCCCATGTCCATCTGGTCAGCTACTGCCCCCATGCCCACCTGGCCAGCTGCAGCCCCCATGCCCATCTGGTGGTAGAAGTTCATCTGCGGTGGCGCGACTATTGGATTGTCGAATAGGGCATCGTTGATCTGGAGCCTGCCAGCGCCACCGATACCTGCCATAGGCGGCATCCCCGCACCGGCATTGGGGTAGTATGGGGGCACCGGGTCCATGGCGAAGTCTGGCAGGATGGGAAATTGCATGGGCATGGGCACGGGCAGCGGTAGCTGCAGTGGCATGGGGATGGGGATGGTCGAGATGTTGTTCTGATTCTGATCAATCTCAGCACCATCCATGGCCACCTGGTATGCCGGTGCAATCGTCTTCTTGATCCCAGTGGTCTTTTCAAACACACGACAGACCATCCACTCATCCTGCGCGAATTTCATTTGTAAACCAAGAGCAAAATCAGATGAGGGTAAGCAAATAAAGCAAGTAGCATATTTATGCATGCATCATGCCAGTGTTGTTACCACTACCACACACCTTGAAAGCAGCAGCTGAAGTTTTCATGGCCATCGCGACATTGGTGGCTGAGTTGGTTGCGGATGTGGGGCCAGGGCGCCTGCCACTACCTTCAAGCCTATACTCATGCATCACCCAGTTGGTTTTATCGCCCCTAGGAGCCTTGCCCTTGTAGAAGACAAGAGTCTTCTTCATGCCAACCAGCAGCACCACCCCTTCTATGGTGTTGTAGACCTCCTTGTCTTTGCCTGTTGCTTTCCAATAACCGGCCTTTGTGGCTCGGTTCGCCCTCAACCCCGTCGAGTACTTGTGGTCCTTTTGGTAGAAGAAGTACCACTCTTTCTCACCCCATTTTGCTTTAACTGCAGCACGTGAATCAAGCGTCGTATATTACTCAATCACCAGCAGAGCAACATCAACATCCACTACGCAGATCAAACAAGAACAAGGCGTATATGTATGTAAAGATCGAGGATGCTTGTTACGTACTCGGGAGGTTCCATAGCTCAGTCTTTTTTAGGTCGACCTCTTCAAAGGCTGTGTAGGTGAAGTCCATGTTGCGCACCTTGTTCGTCAGGTAGTGGCTAACAATCTCATAGTCACTCGGGTGGAAGTGGAACCCTGGAGGCAGGTCGAGGCCACCGGCACGGACCGCGTTCATCTCCTCCTGCTGGGGCTGTTGCTGGTCCGCCATGGTTCTCTTGCTCCTCAACTGTGATCAGATCTAGGAAGCACCAACAACCATATCAAGCAATAAGGAACAATCTCCAGATAGTAATAAAAATGAAGCATACGTACATGCACAAACTCTTCTTGACCTACTGGCAGTCTAGGTCTCTCGATCGCTCGCTCGCCAAGACAGATGCAGGATGAGTTGTTGTGGTGCACTGAGCCGGGCATTGCAGCGTGGCTTAAATAGGCAGGAGGCGTGATCATGCGAGCCACTTTCCGCTAAAGCTTCCTGTCTCTTCCCGTCTCTCGTCTTTTCCGGTGGTGGCTGTTTCTACTGGGCATTGGACTGTTGTTCTTTCCAACTATGTAGTGCTTGTTCTCGTGCACCCAACCTTGCTTTCGCGCGGGGGCCTCAGCCGCTGCTGGAGACAGGTGCCCAGGTTCTGGAATGTCTCTGTTTACATGCGGCGTGCAGCCTGCTGTGACCTCCCACCGTTTTGCCTACCCTAGGCTACAATTCCTGTGGACGTATGCATCCGCATGCCGTTCATGCATGCAGGCCTACACCGGCCGGCGATGCCTCATCTGCATGAAGAACAAGGCTGTCGTGGCTGGCGGCCACCCGCATCGAGATGCACGCGCATCAGTGGCCGAGGGCTACTACAAGGCCTTCGTGATAGAAAGTTTGGACAGGCTGACCGGCACGGGGTCCACATTGCCTCGCATGGAGTGCAAGGGCTGCTGTAGCCGTAGGCATCCATCAAGGATAGGCAGACAAGTGACGGGTCGTCGTGATCTAGCTAGGCCTTGTTTAGATACCTTCAAATTTTCAAGTTTTTTCACTCTCTCTCCATCACATCAATATTTAGCCGTTTGTATGAAGTATTAAATGTAGGTAAAAAAAATAACTAATTGCACAGTTTAGTTGGAAATCACGAGATGAATTTTTTGAGCTTAGTTGATCCACGATTAGACAATATTTACCAAATGAGACAAAAGTGCTACTATTCATCGGTTTGAAATTTTTTTCAATCTAAACAAGGCCCTAGTGCCGATCATTGTGGCGCTGGAGCGTCATATGTTGTTCACTGCTCGATCAGTTTGAGGTGCATGCATGGAGAAAAGCGAGCGCGGCGTTGTGCCGACGCGGTGTGCTATTTGTGGTTGTGTATGTATGTAGACACCCTGATGTATCTATCTGCTGGACGATATGACGTGTATAGCCTGTGCCCATTATCACATAAAAATTGTGCATAGATCGGTGCCCAACAGACAAGTGTGTGTCCGAGCGCACTGGCCCTGGAAACCATGGTCAGTTAGCTTGTTACTGAGACACAGCCAAGTGGTGACCGCTTGATTTATGCATGCATGCAGGGGATATTTTCCTTTTTCAATTCCTTACTTCCTAAGGAACTATAATTGAGTAAATACAGATGACTAGAGTGCATGCCTACATGTCGTCCAGGCCAGGTGAAATGGCATGGCATACATAGACTAAATCTTTCCAGACACACTTCCATGCACATCCCATTTAGTGCATGATGTTGTTACAAATCAGATTATGGTGGAACTTTCTAGTGGTTCACACACCGCCAAAAAAGATGGTTTTAGAGAATAAGAAGAATGATACGCGACACTCTTTCTGTGTCCCCTCTCGTTGCACAGCCGCTGAATTCACCAAAAAGCCTGTGGTTGACCAAAATCACAGGCCTCTCCCTCGCGACTGTTGGATTTATTATGGGCTAGGCCCATTTATAAATTTAATAAATCAATAACTCCCCTCCCTTTCCTCGTGGGTATTACTATTTGTACCGGATTGGAGCCAAAGGAGTGACACTACTCAACTTAAATGATTGGAATTGATCCGTCCTAATTTGAGAGGTTGAGAAGCGGACAAAGGTTTTAGTCCCAGTTTCCGCCGAGACTAGCGAACGCAGGCTCGGCCGAGCGTGTTCTTTTTAATACCCACTAACCACGGGTTTTCAACTTGAAGCCGGTCGACTCCTGATCTCCCGGAGTCTCTCCACCTTCCGTCCCGGCGCATTCCCCACAACCTCTCGGACTAAAAATCCTCCAACTCCGGTTAAAAAGATACTGATCCTCCTAGATGGCCTTCCTCATCTCGTAACTCTGCCCGCACGGAGAAGAGAGGCAGAGTTCAAACCATTGTCGTTCAAGACCTCAATTAGGTTTTTGGGGAGCGTCTGCGACTGCGCCTCATGTCTCCGCTTCTTACCCACCACCTTCTTCTTCTACACCATGACAAGGGGCGTTCTCTAACTTCAATCAGATGGGAGGGTATGATTGTTTCATCATCTTTCTGTTTTATGTTCTACATGTTTCAGGGACCTTTATCTCCCTATCTGTTCATGCTAGAAATATGCTTATGTCCGGGCTAGAAATATGCTCTGCATATGTGTTTCCTTCTTACTGGTTGGTATATAGCTTTATGCTTGTTGCGGATATAGAGATGTATATCATGCCATCTGTCCTCTCTGTTATTCATGAATCAAGTTCTCATGCTTTTGATCTTTATAAGTTTCACATGATATATGATCTAGCATGTATTTTCCCATGGATATAATCGATATCATGATTACAATGATTAATAATTGTTTATATGTCATCATCATGTCCCGGAATTAAAATGACATGAAATTGCCTAATCCAAATTGGGATATCGTTCTAAAGTATGTTCTCTAGTAGTGGGAGATCCATCGTTTTCAATAAATTTTTTTATTAGATCGAGATCTTAGGGTTATGGTCTCTTCATGCCAAGTTTCTTGGTATTGGGATTTATCTCCTCTCTCTCTGGCGACGACGAGGGGTAGGGTGGAATTGTTTTCTCCATGGCGGCTCTGTTGAAGACGAGGGCAACAACTACGGCGTTAGCAACGTCATTAGCATGATGACATGGATTTTCTTTCTAGATGGTGACATCAAGGTGGAGATGATGTCGTCATCATGGAATAATTTTCTCTGGTCTCTTCTTTGTTTTGTTGAGGTTAGATCTGGCCACGATGAAGGACTAGGGAGAATAAGTTTCAGATCAATCTTCCTTTCTTCGGTGGCAGAAAGAACAAAAAGGAAGACACAAGAAAGAAGTTTCCTAACTCCGCCCGAAGGATTGTAGGCCATCGTTCGTTGGGCTTCTGTTCTCAGGCATTTTGTTGTGTGTTTGCCTGTGCGATTATCCATACGAAGAGTCATACAGGTTTGGTTTTGAGATTTGGAGCTATTTACAGTGTGGTGCAATTTAGATGAAAATTAGTTTCTGAATATATGTAGTGTATTCTAGAGTGCTGGTAACATGTTGCCTCCATACTCAAGAATAAAGTCATTTTGGATAGCGACACGGTCCCCTAAAGTATAACTTTGACTTCTTGTTTTTATAAAAAAATATTTATCGAAAACTGATATATGTTTATTTTTATGAAAATATTTTTGAAGACAAATCTATTCATATGGTTTTCATATTTCTAAACTCAACAACTTAAAAGTTATTCATGATTTATATTCCCAATATTTGACCCAAGCCTTGTCCAAAATAACTTATTTTTTAGTATGAAGGGAGTATAATATAATTCTTGTTTTGTCGGAAAAAAAAAAGCCACTGAATTCACCTATGACAACCCAAGCTACTCACCAAGAGAAAATCCAATACGACAACACGACCAATATTGCCGCCATTGCCATATTCATCCATCTGCAAAAAATTTCCTCCCCTAATTTATCAGAGAATTTAATCGATAATTTAATGCAGGCCGAGCAGAGGGATAGTGCGGTGTGAGTGCGCCCTAGTCTAACACCTATAGGTTGTAGGGTCTGTTTGTGTACATAAGGTGTGAGTGAGGTGTGCGTGTGTGTGGTGTTGGTGTGTGTTCATGAACAGATACTACAGATGTACATAGATGAGAGGCGTTAAAAGAAAAAAGTCTCTTAAAGCGAGGGATTTAAGGTTTCTTCCAGCTGTGCTGCTGCCACAGTTTGGCCTCCTCAATGTTGTTCTTGCGGCCGCACCGCTGCCGCAATTTGAGCACCTCGTGACCTCGCTGGTGGCCACACCGGCCCTCCTCCTTCCTGCTAGACTCGCCGCCCGCCACTCCACCAGCAGGTGTTGCCTTTGTGCCACGCTGGCATTCATTCAATTGCCTCGATCCAAGGCTGCAACGGCAATGTCCATCACCATCAGCTCTCTTCTCAGCCTGACATATGCAACATCATGCCTTTATGCATATTGTCAATTGAAATACTCCACGTTCATGGTAATAGACAACATGCCTCCCAACACATTTTGCATCCATATGGTTGAAGGCTAGAAATTAGCATGGCCAAACACATTATGGCATGCCAAACTACAACAAACAGCGAAGCTGTGGCAGAGCTATTTGTCATGGCCGAATGCAGTGATATAGATGATGTGATAGGACCGTAGGACTGTAGGAGGGCATTCGTTGCACGCACCTCGGCGTTTCTTGATTCACCCACTCTAAACAAAAATATCTCTTAAGTTGTTTATCCGATTTCCAAATAATTTGTACCATAATATTTATCATGTTTTTTTCCAACAAAACAAAGATCCATATTGGATATATTTTGATACGAAATAATTGTGACATTTGTACCTACATGTCATACACACATTTTTCATGAGATTTCTTATGGTAGCAGTCCAAATGTATTTTTGCTCTCTAGATTTTGGCACAGCTCCTAATTTTGCCCTTTATTGGGCCTTGCCTGGATTTAGCATTGCCAAATTTTCATTTGGCTCATGTATGTCATCAACCAAAAATAGGCATATCGACGAAATCTAGTCGGCAGTCTACCGAGGGGTATGCCCACAGTAGTAGATGAATCGGTGGAGGTGCGCGTGAGGAAACCGGATGGTGACACAGAATGCAAGAGATAGTGATTAGACAGGTTCGGGCCATCGGCTTGACGTAATACCCTACGTCATGTGTCTTTGTGGATTGTATTACGTGTGTTCAGATGAAAACGAGAGGGGTCCCTACCCGCCTTATA